GTCCAGTTACTGGTTTTCTCCACGGGTCGCTGCTGTCTCGTTGGTTGGTTGGTGTGTTTTATCTTCTATTGGTCGACTTCTTCTTGGGGTTTTCTTTTTTCATCTTTTTACCATTTTGGTCTAGTTTTTATTTCATTTTTTTGTTTTGCACTTCTGGGTTTTATAGTTTCCTATACCAATTTCTAACTTTTTAAATTTTGGTTAAATTTTTTATATTAGATGGTGAACAATTTTGTAATATTCAATGAAAAGTTTTATAGTAAAAATGTAAATTATTTTTAGTATCCTGTGAATTTTTTTAATAGACGTTGAATATTTTTTAATACACGTTGACCATTTTGGTGATATACGTCGAACGTTTCTTTAATATGCAATAAATAATTATAATGCACAAATAATTTTTTAAATACAGACATAACATTTTTGAAAACATGTACTGAACATGTTTTTTTAATAAATGTTGATTTTTAAAATATATTATTTTTAGTAGTTTCTTATATATTTATAGTCCTGGACACATTTCAAACAACCAATTTTTTGGAAGAGAACCAACTGCTGAAAAGACCAAAGAAAGAAAAAACAAATCTCGACTCCTAAAGAGGGAGTTGGTAGTCTCGCCTCACTCACACCAACCCCACGGAAAACCCTATATTACGCTCGTGAGCGTCATACGTGGACCTTTCGCTGAAACGCAATCAAGTTGGGCCTGCCCATTTTAGGCGTGCATTAACTCTATCAAATCGGCACTTTTCCAAAACAAAGTCATGCATTAAATCGCTCAAATCAAATCTTAATAAAATCTCAACTAAATCCAAACTTTCCTTACCTTCTACTACTCATACCCAAATCAAATGAAATCTTACCAAAACTTAAATTACAATCAAAGATTCAATGTTGGCGGCCCATTTGATGAGTACGCGCGCTTTTATTTTTCATTATTTTTCTATGTTTCGTTTTTTCGTTTCCTTTTTTTGATTCATTTTTTTAATAACCAACCTCTTATTTTGTGGTCACCATACTATCAGAATCGACACAGGCTTGTACGCCATGCATGGTGAGTTGGTAGCATCGCCTCCATTTCGGTTAAACCTCCCCGTCGATTTTTTCTATCCCACCAATTTATTTAAATCGGTATTGCAACCATCCATGGGATCGACTTGGAATGACAAACCTAAAACCCTTTTGTCATAATCTAGCTCTAGATGTCTACTTTCTTTTCTAGTTTTCGGATCTCAATTCCGTTCTACGAGCTAGTCACACCAATCACACTTCAGAATTTTTTATGTAAATTGTTCTCTATTTTGCCTAGTTCATATAAATCATTAAGATACTTAAATTTTCCATTGCATGCAATTCCACCATCATAATCTATACACCTGATCTTGATGTCCTAATCATGTACATGAATGGAAGAATATGGCTTTGGCTTGAACCTCATTAGTGCAAGCTATGTTTACTCGTAGCACATATAGATGAGTTTCATCGTTCTTCTACATAATGCATGTATGTAGTCCATGCTCGCCATGTATAATTCATGCATGCTATTTACTTCCAATATCCTTTCACGTGTAACTAATCTGGTCTATTCCATAGTATTCTTCTCCATAAGATCCTAGCCATATCCTACACACATGCCCATATGTTTTCTTTTTTGATCTTACTTGGTGTTTCATTTGGAGTTCTGTTGTACGCTTGTTGATTTTTGTGTATATTGTGCGACGTATAGACGAAGGAGGAGATGAGGGTACTAAAAAGAAGAAGTAGGAGGCGCGCATCAAGCAGTCATGCCACCCCCATCCCTCATACTATATTTTTGTCCAAATACACGTGTTTTACAAACGTGCATGGAAACTTGCTTAGAGTCAAAATATTAATCTTGATTAGTACACCCATTCATTGGATACGATACCATGCTCTTATACCCTGTTCGTTGTCACCATAAACTTGAGTAGTTATTGATGCTTAAACAAGATTCATCACCTAAGAGCATCTCCAGCCGCGCCCCCAACAGGCCCACCCCAGGCGTTTTTGCCGCGCCGGCGCCAAAAAATCGTCCCAGTCGCGTCCCCACTAGACCCTTTTTCGGCGGCTTGGGCCGAAACTGGCGCCGGCGGACCCGAGCCGAACCCGGCGCGCTGGGGGCGCCTGGGGGCGCCGGCACAAGCGAAAAGGGGTGTGGGGCCACTCTGTCGGCGAGTCGAGAGCCTCTTCCAGCTGTTTCTTCCCGCTCCCCCCCTTCACTCCCATTCTCTCCATTCCTCCCGCCAACCTCCCTCCCGCTCGCCTCCCAGCCGGCCTCCATGCCGCTGAATAAGTATGTGATCCCCCGCGCCGCGACAACTGCGACCGCCACCGTCGCCCAGCCGAAGCAGAGGAAGCCGAAGGCGCCGCCGTCCAAGCCACCGGGCATGCCAAATGCCGACTGGAGGGTGGAAGTTCAGCGCCGGGAGGCTATCACCGCCGACCGGCGGAACAGGGCCATCACCAAGAAGGCTCAGGACGACGTGGCGCGTGCGGCTGCGGCCGCGACGGATCAAGCCGAGGCCGAGGCGGCTCGCGTGGGGATGATGAATCCACCCGGCGGCCATGCCCAGTACGCCTCTGGAGATAGCAAAGCGTCGGCTCTCCGGCCGGCTTCTCGTCGTCGCCGCAACCATGGGGATGCTCGCCGTCTCCAGGCTACTCTGACGGGGACGCGCACGGTGGGTTCAACCCCAACATCACCTTCCCCCATGGACACCCGGCCCAACGCAAGCCCTCGCCCGCCTTCGTCGGCGTGCAGTACCCTCCGTACAACTACTCACCATCGGCTTACGCATCCTCCCCGACGTCCCCTCTCCGCCGTGGCGCCCTGCCCTTCTCACAAGCTTCCATGTAGCACCTCGGCGACACTGACGAGATCGACACCGACATGGACGACATCATCGCGGCAAGCTCGGCCGCGGCGTCCCCGGGTTCGCTACCCAGGACGACACAATGGACCTCAGTGGCGGCATGGACGTCGAGCTCGAGTATGGCGAGGAGGAGGAGGAGGAGTCGGCGACTGTTCCGGTGAGGAGGCACAAGAAGAAGAAGGGGCGGCGAGGACCGGCAAGCCGCGCATCAAGTGGACATCCAAGGAATAGGAATGCCTCGCCGAAGCGTGGAAAGTCGTCTACCTCGACCCGACCACCGACATGAACCAGAGCATCGAGACTTACTGGGAGCGCATCACGGCTGAGTTCGACGAGCGCAAGCTCGTCGACCCCTACTTTAAAGGCGTCTACATGCAGCGCGGGTTGAAGGAAATGGCAAACCATTGGGGGCTCATCCAGGCGGCGTGCAAGAAATGGCATGGGATCGTCGAGGAGATCGCGGCTCGCCCGGAGAGTGGCGCCAACGTTGAGGATCAGGTATGGCACGCCGGTCTCCTGCTTCTCTTTGCCGTATGCGCCCGTCAACTGTTTGTTCCTCGGCGCAGCTGCTGCGCATGTTCGCCTTGTATTGCCTGGGCAACAGCGACCAAGATTTCAAGTACCTCCACGTCTACAAGGGGATCGACAAGTGCGAGAAGTGGGCGGAAGTCCGGCGCACCCTCGACAAGGCCAAGGAGACCTACAAGCCGGACGCGCCAACGACTGGCGCGTCAGAAGGGCGGCTGGACGGCATCAAAGGGGCCAAGAAGGGGAAACACGCCGACGCAGCAACCGTGCGAGTGCAGGAGTCCATCGAACACTGCCTCGCCGACGCACAGGCCCGGGCCGCCCTGCGTGAAGAGAAGATCGAGGCACGGTGGTCGGCGTTGATGACGAACAGCGCCGTCAAGCTCGAGCTGCTCCGGACCACCGTCATCGCGAAGAAGAGGAACACCGATCTGGCTTTTCTGATGGGCGGGGCGGACATACTCCAGAGCAACGACGAGCAGCTCAAGGCGTGGTACATGGCGGAGCGCGGCCTCATTCTGAACCAGCTGACGACGACGGCACCGCCAACTCCCGCGCCCACGCCGCCAAGCCCGAGTGTTGATGCCTCCACGACACCCAGCAGCACCGAAGCCGCGCTGACGCCGCCCAGCATAGAAGCAGCTCCGACACCGCCTAGCCCACGCACGCTAACTACGCCGACGCCGGAGGCCGACCCCGCCTAGTGATGCGTTGCGCACGCGTCCAGACTTGTGGCGCTCATTTTTTTGTAAGCCGGACTATTTATCCAATCGCCGAACTGTGTCCTGTGATCGCCGGGCTTGTGGCGTCTTTTGAGCGGGAACGGCCAAATTCGAAATTGCGGCGTCCTGGGGGCGTGATTGCGAGCTAGGTCGCCCCCAGGGGCCAATCTAGCGCCGGTTCGCTCCCAAGCCGCTCTTTTTAGGCGCCCTGGGGGGCCGAACGGCTGGAGATGCTCTAATAAATTGGTGGCACTGTGTTCCATCTTGTTGAGATTATCATTCATCATTGCTTAGTTGAGAAAGTCAAAAACTTGTTTTTTGGACTAAACTTGTGTCACAAGTGTAAGTCAAATCTTGATGTTGAGATTACCATTCAACATGTATGTAATGTTTCATCTATTTTCACCCCTCTCTTCGTTTCCTGGTCGCCTCACCCACAGAACCTTGAAATCCTGTCGGGCCTTCAAGAGAAACAATTGTCGAGTCCTGTCAAGCACGAGCCGGTGCAACTGTCTGGACAGATCAAAGCACACGAGTGCGTGCAATTTGGGGAGGCGGGAGGCGGAAAGCCAAGCGACCCAACTACTAACTCCCACTTGGCCTGACGGTAGACGTGTCGCACGCAGCACCAAATCACGTCTCTCCTCCCCCCGGCATTCGTGGCCCTCCGTCTTCCCGTCCACCTGACCAAATCACGTCTCCCGCCGAGTATATATCCCTTTCCCCACACTCGTATCACCACACCAAACCAGTACGGCCAGCATCGATCTCTCACACTCATCTCCGCCTCCAGCCGGCCACTGCTGAGCTAGCTACTCGGCCGCTGCTACGTACTTGTACGTACAGGTAGAGATCGATGGCGGCGGCGACGATGACGGTGGAGGAGGTGAGGAAGGCGCAGCGGGCGGAGGGGCCGGCAACGGTGCTGGCGATCGGCACGGCGACGCCGGCGAACTGCGTGTACCAGGCCGACTACCCGGACTACTACTTCAAGATCACCAAGAGCGATCACATGGCCGACCTCAAGGACAAGTTCAAGCGGATGTGTAAGTCCAACCAATTCCATTCCATCATTCTTTGCCGTCTCTTTTATGCCTTCTCTCGGACGAACACGCGACCTAACAAACAAACAAAACAATTGCTTCATTTCATCTTCAGGTGACAAGTCCCAGATCAGGAAGAGGTACATGCACCTCACGGAGGAGATCCTGCGGGACAACCCCAACATGTGCGCCTACATGGCGCCATCCCTGGACGCGCGCCAGGACATCGTCGTCGTCGAGGTCCCCAAGCTCGGGAAGGCGGCGGCGCAGAAGGCCATCAAGGAGTGGGGCCAGCCGCGCTCTAAGATCACCCACCTTGTCTTCTGCACCACCTCCGGCGTCGACATGCCGGGGGCCGACTACCAGCTCACCAAGATGCTCGGCCTGCGCCCCTCCGTGAAGCGCCTCATGATGTACCAGCAGGGCTGCTTCGCCGGCGGCACCGTGCTTCGCCTGGCCAAGGACCTCGCTGAGAACAACCGCGGCGCGCGCGTGCTCGTGGTCTGCTCGGAGATCACCGCGGTGACCTTCCGCGGACCGCATGAGTCCCACCTCGACTCGCTAGTAGGTCAGGCGCTCTTCGGCGACGGTGCGGCCGCGGTAATCATCGGCGCAGACCCGGACGAGTCCATCGAGCGCCCCCTGTTCCAGCTGGTGTCCGCGAGCCAGACCATTCTGCCGGACTCAGAGGGCGCCATCGACGGCCACCTCCGGGAGGTCGGCCTCACCTTCCACCTCCTCAAGGATGTGCCCGGGCTCATCTCCAAGAACATCGAGCGCGCCCTGGAGGACGCCTTCAAGCCATTGGGCATCGATGACTGGAACTCCGTATTTTGGATGGCGCACCCCGGCGGGCCGGCAATCCTTGACATGGTGGAGGCCAAGGTAAACCTGAACAAGGAACGGATGCGCGCCACCAGGCATGTCCTCTCCGAATATGGCAACATGTCAAGTGCTTGCGTGCTCTTCATCATGGACGAAATGCGCAAACGCTCCGCCGAGGATGGCCACACCACAACCGGCGAGGGAATGGATTGGGGCGTTCTCTTCGGCTTCGGCCCCGGCCTCACTGTGGAGACTGTCGTCCTCCATAGCATCCCTATCACTGCCTAGGCCAGTGCATGATCATTCATTCTCCATTTGTCTTCGTCATGAAATAATCTACTACTGTTGCTGCTACACCCAAGTTTGCACTGTATTCTGCTGTATGAGGTTTGTAAAACTAGAAGAGTAGGCGCGTGTCTTTCCTCTGTGCTACATATACTCTGTTTGTTGTTGAGATCGTTGTGTTATATATGAGCTATTGATTTACATGATTGAAAGTAACCAGTTACGTTTATGATGAAACCTAGGAATCAAACATTCATCCAAATTGACTACCCCTACGGGATAGACCTCAACAAGAAAACCATTGAGTAACGGCACCAAATGGAAATAATAAGATATACTATACTCCACATTTGTCAAGCAATCAAATTTGAGAGAATATCACAGTCCACGGTGAGGCCCGAAAGAATCAAGCACCATACAACCCTGCAATTTCGCCAGTCGAGAACACGGTGAGCGCCATCGTGCTCACCGATTATAAAGAATGATCATGCTCATAGGCCAGCGCATGATCACTCGTTCTCCATTTATCTTGGTCATGAAAAAAATCTACCACTGTTAAGTTTGCATTGTATTCTACCGCACGTGGTTTGTACTAGAAGTGTTGGCGGCGGCGCTACGCGTGTGTTGGCGTTGTCATGTGATGGCGACCTCTGTGAAAACACACCTGATGGCGTTTCTTTGCCATATTTGACGAAGAATCAGTACTTCGTCCGTAAAGAAATACAAGAGCATTTAGATCATTACTTTAGTGATCTAAGCGCTCTTATATGTATTTATAAAGGGAGTAATAAATAGGCTAAAATAGTGAGATATTTTATGAAAAAGAAACAATAAGATATACTCCACTTTTTGTCATGCAATCGCACCTTGAGAGAGAGAGCCTGTCAACGTCCAAGGTGTGGCCACGCCGGAGTCCATCCGCGACACGATCGAGCTTGTCGCTGCAAACCTCGATGCCTTCTTTGCAGGGAGCCATTGCTCAGCCCCGCACAGCTCTGAAACAAGAGCACCATCGATTGATTGGATAAAATTGGTCTGCGATCATCCACTGTTGTGCTCTTGTGATTAATCGGCCTGAATGAACTGCAATCTGCAACCAGCAAGCGGAATGCTGCCCAAATTTGCTTCTTGTGTTCTGAATGTTCATGTGAAAAAAAGTGTACAATGGCAACGGAAGGCCAGGCAGAGAGTAGTACTAGAAGGAAACCCCACTGCTTTTGGTGGCACTGCTTCTGATTTCTGCAGCGGTTTGCCTTGCATGTTCATCTATTTTTCCTTTGGCCCCCGGTGGACAACCCGCCGGCCACAGGTGTGGCGTTGAGGTCGATAGTCATGGGCGCAGGCATGGCCGGCGCGACCACTCACCTCCGGCGAGCAGTCCGCGGGAGAGGTAGAGAAACGGGAGGCTTACGGTTGGGGATGGAAGCCAAGCACATGCGGCGTGGTCCGTGCCGCCTGAGCTCTTCTCCATGGACAACATGGTGCTGTCGGGCCACAGGGCCGTGGCCACGCCGGAGTCCATCCGCAGCACGATCAAGCTCGTCGCCGTGCCGCCAACCTCGACGCCTTCTTCGCAGGGAAGCCACTGCTCAGCCCTGTGCAGCTCTGAAACAAGAGCACCATTTATTTATCTGGATATAATTGGTCTGCGATTGGCCTGAATGAACTTCAGTCTGCGAGAAATAATGTGCTCACGACAACAGAATGTTCATGTGTTGGGAATGCTGCACAAATTTGCTTCTTGTGTTCTGAATGTTCATGTGAAAAAAAGTGTACAACGGCAACAGAAGGCCAAACAGAGAGTAGTACTAGAAGAAGCAACTCCATTACTTTTGTTGGCACTATTTCTGATTTCTGCAGTGGTTTGCCTTGCATGTTCATCTATGTTGTGAACTTTTCTTTTTTCATGGTGAGCAGAGACCTCACTGGTATCAGCTCCTGCAATGCGTGTCCGTGTAAATGGAGCAGCAGGCACCGTGTCACACATCTGCACATACTCCGCACCCAACAAAAGTTGTGGTGCAGATTTGCTAACTCGCGTTCACTGCACTAGAGAATCAGCATGCACCGGAGTGAGCAATGGCTGACCGGAGAAGAAGGCTTCAAGGTTGCCAATGGTGTGCAGACACAGGTCCGACCTGGACTCCTCCGTCAACACCGCCACGTGGCGTGACAGAACCACATTGTCCATGGAGAACAGCTCCGCGGGCACCTTGGGCTCGTGCTCAAAGACGTCAAGGCCCGCGCCTGCAATCTTTCCCTCCCTGAGTGCAATGACCAGTTCGGCCTCGTCGATGTTTGCTCCTCGGCCGATGTTGACGACCACACTGCCCTTTCCTAGGGCCTCCAGCACATCCTTGTTCACGATGTGACGCGTCGCCTTGTTCAGTGCACATGCGACAACGAGCACGTCTGAATCAGCAGCAAGATCATGGACATTAGGGAAGTATTTGTAAGAGACCGAATCCTTAGGTTTTCTCGAGTTGTAGTGGATGATGCAGCCGAAAGCTTCAAGCCTCTTTGCAATCCGTGAGCCGATGTTCCCCAAGCCGATGATGCCAACACGTTTGCCACCAAGCTGAGACCATCAAGTTAACACAAAAAATGTTATTTAAATTTTTATTAGTGCCAAAATGAATAAGAAAAAGATGCCTTTGCGCCATAGCCAAACACGGTGTCAATTACTGAATGACTGACGAGAGTATGAAGATGTGCGCAAATTCAGGACGCAATCAGTAAATCGTATGGAATTATGGAGAAGCAGTAGCAGTGCCGCACATCAATTGGTACAGATGATACAGAATAGTAATAATAAGAAAAGCTGAACAATTCTTTGGCCCAGGCATGGGATGCTGTGAATTTGAAATTGTATTGTAGATGTGTTGATGAGAGACTAGTGAGCATGTGGAGTAGAGAACATTACCCTGCCCGATATGTCAGATAAGCCGATTTGGTTATATGAACCTGCTGATATCTTCCTTGCCCGGTCCTCTTATAACATTGTTAATTTTGGTGGAATATTCTCGCAAAATTTGTGTGCCTCGTAAAGTACATGTATTCTTGTGGTTGTCTGATCCATAACAGAATCTTAACAAGAGATAATCATTTAAAACGCCAATCTTTAGATGATAAATAATGTCTGTTCTCTAGTGTACCTGCCAGCAATGTTTGGATGATAAATAATGTACTGAGGAGAAAAGCTAACAAGTCAACTGTCATCATTTGGCATGTTGGTTTGCGTACTGATGATGATAATATGGAGTACAGATCTGCTATGCGATTACACGACGAAATGGATTTGGATTGGCCGCTGTTGGGAATTATTAACAGCGGAGAAATTCAGGAAGCAAGCAAACAGCCGGACCTTAGATCCGAGAGGATAGTCCCCCTGCGCCGCCCAGGACCCGCGCCGGACGTACCGCTCGGACGCCGACACGCGGCGGAGCACGTCGAGCAGCAGGCCGACGGCGTGGTCGGCGACGTCGGCGGAGTAGACCTCCCCGGAGTTGGCGACGGCGACGCCGCGGCGCGCGCACTCGGCCAGGTCGATGTGGTCGAGCCCCGCGGCCGTGCTGACGACGCAGCGGAGGGAGGGGGCGCCGTCGAGGAACGAGGCGTCCACGCGCACGCCGCCCCAGATGACCGTGGCGCGCGGGGGCTCCGGCACGGCGGCGGCCGCGGCGACGAAGGCCAGGGCCGGGAGGGCCTGCCCCGGCGCGTACAGGTCGAGGACGCGGAAGCGGTCGCGCAGCGCGGCGGCGAAGGGCGCGTCCACGGGGCGGAGCAGCAGGACGGCAGGCTTGCCGCTAGCTGCCGCCATGGTTGCGAGCTCGAGAGTTGCAACTTGCAACCACTGGTAACCAAGCCACGGTGGCCACCTCACTCTCCTTTTCTGATTATCTTTCTTTTTCAACACCTACTAGACTTCAGAACTTTCATTTCTCTCACAAAAAAAAGAAGAGAGTTAAAAACTTTAACTACACTCCACAAAGGCAAAGCTTTGTTTATATATTCTTTAAGCAACTGTGTGTGATACTCCCTCTGTCCGGAAATACTTGTCATCAAAATGAATAAAAAGGAATGTATCTAGATGTATTTTAGTTCTAGATACATCCTTTTTAATCCATTTTAATGACAAATATTTTCAGACGGAGACGGAGGGAGTACTTCCTAAAAAAAAGGTGTGTGATACTTCTCACTAGCCGGACCACCGCTTTGAGCCACCGGTGCATGCGCTCCCTGATAAACAGTAAATTTAAAATAAATGCTAACTGAGTTTAAAAATTCTGATTTTTCTTTTGACATTTGCACAAACATTTTTGATGGGCAGGAACATATGCTTCCAAGAGTCGAATTGAATTTCGGTCCTTTTTCGTTTCCTTAGTCTATATAGACAGACAACCCTGGGCATCCATGCTCTCTGCAATGTCAACATTTGAGATGTCAATTGCTTGTCTTCAAGCATGAACTCTTGAATGGTGTCCTAGCTACAGCAGGGAAAGCGATGCTGCCCACTCTACCGCAAAAGGGGGCGGCTTTCCTCCTCCTCTCATCATCAAGGCCCATCAAGCAGCTTAATTTCGTGGAGAGGTTGTGTTTCATTCCAGTAGCAATAAAAAATTCAAGGCGCCTTGTTAAATACAACATCCTCGACAATAAAATACCATTCTTCTGGCTTCTATATCTTGCACAGAACCATAAATTTATTCAAATGCTAAGGTTGAATGGCTTATAAACAGCACGTGTCTTGAGCAATGCCATCACGAACTAGGGGGGAAGTTGGCCAGGACTTGGGAACAATTGAGTGAATGGTGACCACGCGCACAATGTACCTTCATGGACTTAGGAACATATCACTCTACCCTTGTTCTCCTTGAGCAATGAACCAGAAGCAATTTGCAAAACTTATCCTACAATTATTTCTGAAATGGCACAGTTTAGCCGGGAAGGAGCAGAACCAGGCAGGGTTCAGAATCTGCTGCTTGGGCAGCAACCACCTAACCTTCATCCTGTGCCTGATCATAAGTCCACCATTCATCCCAATTGGCCTGTACATATTTCTGAGCGAGAAATCCTCGCCCTTGGAGAGTCACAGCTCTCTTTTGTCAGTTGAGTTTTATACCAGTTTACACTTAACAAGAACATGGAAATCCCATAAGGGCACGCCACAATGCTGCCTTGAACGCCACAATGTGTTTTACTTTTGTTAAAAACAAGGATTCTAACATTTTTCTAAAATAATTTATAATATAATGTTTTATGAATTTACCATATATTTATGTTAGGCATATTTTAGTCGCAACTCAGAAACTAATAAAAACAAATGAAGGTTATAAAATACAATATGAGGCAAATGCAACATATGATTTTGGTTATAAAACACAGGATATGGCAAAGTGAAATTTATTTAGGAAATGGGCAGGACACCGCAATCGACACAAGCAACCCAATATATAATTTTTACTTTTCAAGAAAAGAGATCTAGAGAGAAAAATGAGACACACAAGTAGCAGCATCTTTGTGGGAGGAATGCTATTCGCCTTTATATACACTACTTCCTCTGTTTATAAATATAAGACGTTTTAGAGACTTGCGTGGTCAGTATAAAACGTCCTATGTTGGTGAACAGAGGGAGTATTAGCAAATTCAAAGACTAAAAAGTAAGGATACTGGTCATTGCTTAGTTTCCTGGAGCTGCGTCATTTGTACTTTCCCATGGAACGTCTTCTCCCTGATTTGCATGTTTTGTTTAGGTAGGGACTTGCGGCAATCTGTACTAGAGAATCAGCATCAGCATCATCAGTTCATCACTTCCAATATATCTGATATGAGTGACCTGACTTGCGTTCACTGCACTAGAGAATCAGCATCCACTTGAGTGAGCAACGGCTGACCAGAGAAGAAGGCTTCAAGGTTGCCAATGGTGTGAGCGCGCAGGTCCGACCTGGACTCCTCCGTCCACACCGCCACATGGTGCGACAGAACCACATTGTCCATGGAGAACAGCTCTGCCGGCACCTTGGGCTCATGCTCAAAGACGTCAAGGCCCGCGCCTGCTATCTTCCCCTCCCTGAGTGCAATGACCAGTTCCGCCTCGTCGATGTTTGCTCCTCGGCCGATGTTGATGACCACACCGCCCTTTCCGAGGGCCTCCAGCACATCCTTGTCCACGATGTGCCGCATCGCCTTGTTCAGTGCGCATGCGACAACGAGCACGTCGGATTCAGCTGCAAGATCATGAACATTTGGGAAGTATTTGTAAGAGACCGAGTCCTTTGGTTTTCTCGAGTTGTAGTGGATGATGCAGCCCAAGGCTTCAAGCCTCTTTGCAACCCGTGAGCCGATGTTCCCCAAGCCGATGATGCCAACACGCTTGCCGCCAAGCTGAGATCATCAAAATAACACCCAAAAAAAAATACTGTTTTAGTTTTTATTAGTGCCAAAAGGAATAAGGAAAAGGAAAAACATGCCTTCGAGCCACAGAAGTGCACGAATTGTGGATGCAATCACTAAAACATAAGTCGATATGGAGCTGGCGGAAGCAGTAGCAGTAGCAGCGTTGCACACTAATAGGTCTTAGGCTACAAAAAAAATAAGGAAATGAGATCAACCGAGCAGAGAACATACAGAAGAATGCAACCTTCAATTCATAACAGGATGAATGTGCTGGCTAATTCAGCGCCTGGATATATGACAAGGAGTTTGTGTAATTCATACTCGAATGTCTAATCGATATATACTCATATGACGCTTGTAGCATTATATTGCTAATTAAGACTGGAGAGACATTCCCTCTTTCTCTCTCGCATTACACTGTAATCGCCCTCGATTTCCAACCTGAGTTTCCTAATGTGTAGAGTCATAGAAGCGGTTAAGCAGCAAGGGTGCTGCTGCCGACGCCTTCTGAAATATTCAGTTCAGTGTCTGCAGCGGTTTGGACCGATGATGATGTGTTACAGACCTATGCAATGGATTTGGGTTGATTTTCGTATTGGAAATATTAGGACGTCAACAGGATAGCTAACTGTTGGGTTTGTGATGTTGATGTTAACCTTCAAGAAAGTGACAAAATGGAAGTGGATCTGAGAGGAGTAACAATAAATGCACATTGTCAACCCCTAATTCAGTTTGTGGACGGTCTGCTCAGCCACAAAATAATGCTTGTTTTAATTTGCTCACAAAGTTAAAGCTTTATTCATCCTTCTCCTTCAGAAACTGGCAAAGGAGGTTAATTTGCCACATTTGAGAATCTTATTAACAAGGACTATATTGACACTATATGGTCTCTGAATTCAATCCAAATTATTCAAAAAAGAATTGTCTCTGAATTCCTCTCAGACAGGTTAATTTCTACTAAGATAGTTTTGCCGAAGAACATTGGCAGAATCAGAAACAAAATAGTGTCAAGGTATGCCTAAGCTCAACAGGCCAAGAAGTCAAGAACCGGACCTTGGATCCGAAGGGATAGTCGCCCTGCACCGGCCAGGACCCGCGCCGGACGTACCGCTCCGCCGCCGAAACGCGCCGGAGCACGTCGAGCAGCAAGCCGACGGCGTAGTCCGCGACGTCGGTGGAGAAGACCTCCCCGGAGTTGGCGACGGCGACGCCGCGGCGCGCGCACTCGGCGAGGTCGATGTGGTCGATCCCGGCGCCCGTGGTGAGGACGCAGCGGAGGGAGGGGACGGCTTCCAGGAACGAGGCGTCCACGCGCACGGAGCCGCCGCCCACGACGACCGCGGCGCGCGGGGGCTCCGGCGCGGCCGCGGCCGCGGCGAGGAAGGCCGGGAGGGGCTCGCCGGAGGAGAAGAAGTCGAGGACGCGGAACCGCTCGCGCAGCGCGGCGGTGAAGTCGGCGTCTGACCGGCGGAGGTGGAGGACGGCCGGGAGGACCAGCGGGTTGCCGCCGGCCGACGCCATAGCTGAGAGTTGGAAATTGCTAAACAACTGACATGTTACTACTACTTTTGTGCAATGAAACCAACACTAAAAGTAGAACAAAATTGGAAATAGAGAGGTAAATACACCCGAAGTCATAAAACTTGCACGTGATGGTCAGTTTGGTGCACAAACTTGTAAAATACGTGTTTCTGGTCATCAAACTTGCACAAACATTCATATACGGTCACATTTCATGTACACGAACGTATCCATAGCCTATGTGGCATTCCAGTGTAGCCAGGGCCCACTGTCATCCGCTGTAGCATCTAAATCTGCAAAGAAGCCTTTGCCTTTTTTTATTTTCGTATTAAGCCCCTAAAAATAAAATTAAAAAGCAAGCGATATGGGGTTTTGAAGCTGCAACGTGCCCTAGTAGTCTCACGTGTACAACCACCAGACTACTAAATATTCATGTTATAGCACGACTAATTTCTGTATCATATAAACATTGACTGAAAATAAATTTTACAAGAAATGTAACACGGAAAAAATGAGCATCGTGGCTCGACCATGTGACCTTGTGGTCAAGGTTAACTAAGATTACCACCGACAACACAACACATCCAGATGTAAGAAAATAATTTATATTCTTGTGTTTGTGACATTCAAAAAATATTTATGTGTTACAAAAAAAGGTATGCGACATTTTAAAAAGTTTCAAAAACTTGTATTTAAAAAAATGTTAATCAACACAATATGTCTAGATTAACATTTTTTCAAATACAAGTTTTGAAATTTATGTGTATTGAAACATATACTCCATATGATACACATATGTTTTGATGTTTTAAATACGCCAGTATAAATCTATGTTATGATACATATATATATATATATATATTTAAATACTCCAGTATACATCTATGTTTGGAGTATTTTAAAAAATATATGCTTAATACTTTTGAAACATATGATTAACATTTTTTTCAAATACAAGTTTTGAAACTTTTTTCAACTATGTTTTTAATATTTTCGGATGGTACAAAACATTTTTAAGCTACACAAACAGTTTTATACATTGTATAGGCATTTAAAAAATGTCATGACCAGTTTTTTTGGAATGCACGAACATTTTTAAAATGCAACGTATCATTTTTAATTACACAAATATGGTTTACAATGTTTAAACATTTTTTTAAATGTCACACACCTTTTTTGTAACACATAAACATTTATTAAATATCACAAACACAAAATTATAATATTTTTTTCTTACATAGAACAAGAAGGAATAACAACATGAAAAATATTTATCCCATTTGAATATGTTGTGTTTTCGAAACCCGGTGGTAATCTTAGTTAACATTGATCACGAGGTCACATAGTCGAGCCACGGTGCTCCCTTTTTTGGGGTTACATTTCTTGTAAAATTGATTTTTCGGCCATGTTTATATGATATAAAAATTATTTGTGCTACCTAGACATGCATGATCATCGGTTTGGTGGTTGTTAACCCGAGCCTAGTAGTGGCACGTCCCTAGTTCGTAACCGAACCATCCCTTGTTTTTCCATTTTATTTTAGGGGCTTTATACATAAATAAAAAATCATTTTATTTTAGGGGCTTAATAAGTTAAAAAAATAGGTGTATAATACGTAAATAAAGAAAAAGCCTGCAGATCTACCATGCGTCGCGGACTTACGGTGGGCCATGCTGGCATGCCACGTAGACCACGGATACGTCCGCGTACATGGAATGTGACCGTATATGAACGTTTGTGCAAGTCTGATGACCAAAAACACGTATTTTACAAGTTTGTGCACCAAACTGACCGTCACGTGCAAGTTCTATGACTCCTGATGTATTTACCTCGATTTTTAAACCCACAGACTCAAAAGAAAAGAAAAAGAAACGGAAATGTTATGTGCAGAACGTCAGTTTTTTTGTTGTTGACATTCCCAACGAACTAACCTATGGCCAATGGATCGAAAACACGAATCTTGGCGCACGTTCACCCGTCACATCGGTAGCACGCACGCCTTCGCTGAGGGGAGGTGCCGGCTGAACGAACCGCAACGCAGCCTACTTCCTCCACCCACTGGCCAGCGCTCTCTCATCGTCTATCGTCTCCATTCCCCATCACACGTCCTCACTACATCTCGCCACTGCGCATCCCTTTTTGGGTGATTGCGCCGGAGCCCTGCACGCGTGGCTCATCCGCCGTCACGGGGCACCCTCTGTTGTTGTCTGGTGGATCTAGGAGGCGCACCGCCCACCACGAACCCTCAGCATCCAGCCGTCACTCCAATAGAAGCATTTTGGGCAGGATGGAGCATTTTGGGCAGTGTGCTAGAGATAAAAAGTGTGATGGCCGGCCTATATGCAGAAAGTGCAGGCGCACAAGTTTAGGAGAGAACTGAATTAATAGGTTAGGCCATGCTGCCTTGGAGTACATGGTATGAGCTCCAGCCCAGATTGGATGTGGAAATAACAATACTGTCTGTACTAGCAAATGTGGAAATGGAACAACAGAAGTACAACAAACCGATCGAAACTTGCAGACACAATTGACTGACTGACCAACTGGATACATGCAAATCTCCAAGTCATAGTCCTAGACCGACGGCTTCATCAGCTCTTCGTCGGCGACGAGCCTGGCGAGCACGTCCGGGGCGAGGCACACCTGCAGCTCCATGCCCCCTCTCCCTCCGCCGTCAGCTCCGCCCTCGTAAACCGTGACATACCCGTCCAGCTTGTTCCCGGCGCCGCTCCGGACGGCCACCGGCCTGCCCCACCCCAAGTCGTTGCCGTACACGTCGAACCGCGTCGAGCCGGTGACCACCACCGTCTCAGGAGGAAAACGCTCGGCCAAGCACCTGAAGCTGGGGTTTGCATGCCACGCCGCGAGCTTCTCCCTCACGCACGCCTCGTCGACCGCAGCCACGGCCCGGTTCAGAAGCCACGCCGCACAACCCAGCCGGTCGTCTCCCAGAATCTCGCCGACCGCGGCCTTGCCGGCGGCGCTCGACACCGCGTTGCCCACGTAAACCGGCGGCATGCTCTTCAGGCGCGTCCGGCATCCGACGGCGAGCAAGCACGTGGTCTCCTGGTCCGGCGCGAGCCCCCGGGCCCGACACGTAGCCCGCCACAGGTGCGCGACCACGGCCTGCAACGAGGAGATGGTGGCCGTGCCGGCGGCCATCTCAGCGTTCGCTTTCGCCTTCAGCTTCTTCACGCTCTCCGGGGAGAAATGGATCGAGCATTCATACACCGGCGGCGGGTACTCAAACCGCCTGGGGATGTCGTCCGCCTTGGCAAAGGGGAGAGGGATCGGCACGGTGCAGCCCTCGATGAACCACCTCTTGGGTGGTGGGGGCACCGTGGAGATATCTCCGTTGGCGTCGCCGCCGTTGCGGCTGATCTCCGACCATGCGTTGAACAGATCCCAGAACGTGGTCCCATCGGCGACGCCGTGGTTGAGCGACATGGCGACGAAGAGGCCGTCGGCGAGCTCGGTTACCTGCACGGCCAGGACGGGCAGGCTGGGGTCCACGACGGCGTCCGCGCTGACCGTTCCATTGAGAGGGAAGAAGGAAGAGACCACACGCGGGATGCAGACCGTGCCGGTGAGGTCAGCGACGGTGACCCCGGGCGCCGCGGCGTGGACGAACTCGGCGCCTTCGTCGCTGCAGCGGAGCGAGATCGTCAGGCCCGGTGACTTCCCATCGCCGTCCTTGGCCACCGGTGCGACGGCGAAGCGGCCGGCGAGGGGGTAGAAGCGGGCCAGGGCGCGCGCGAAGGACGAGGCGAGGTGTTCGACGGCGTGCGCGCCACCGGCCGGAGGCTTGGGCAGGAGGACGCCCTTCTGGGCGTAGTCCACGGGGAGCTGCTGCAGGTCCCATGGCGTCAGGTGGACGGTCTCGGGCTCCGGCGCCCGTGAGCTCTTCTGGTACTCCGGCTTGACCATGCGTCGGGAGACGATCTGGACACCGCCGCCTTCCATTTTGGTCGCCGGATGAGCGGTGGACACTATCGAGAACGTGAGTCTGAGCTCGATAGTGTGTGTTTTGTGGGTTGGCGTTGTATACTGTGTATATTAGAGCATCTCCAACAGGCGATTTGCCGCGCGCATCGCCTGATTTGGCACGGCGCGCAGCGCTGGCTCCAGCAGCCGCGCTAAAATGCAGCGCGCGTGCGCCGCTCCAGCAGCGCGCGCGACAACATTTTCGAAAGCATAAAAATAAAGATAAATTGCATAGATAAAAAATAAAGATAAATTGCATAGATAAAAAAACGATACAAAGGTATTTTACATCGGTGCAACTAGATAGATAGTTCGAAAACATAGATAGATAGAACTACGGTGCAACTAGATAGAAACTACTACGGCATACTAGATAGAAACTACTCCAAATCGCTACCACCATCATCATCCTCGTCGGTGTTGTCCGAGGTATCGAGCCAAATGTCGTCCCAACGTTCATCGTCTGACGTGAAGATCGACCTCCCACCTGCTGAAACGATGTCGCACTGCGCATTCGCCAATGCCTTCCGACGCCGGTCCGCCCGCTCTGCGCGGCGCCTTGCCGTCCTCTCCGCCCAGTAGGCACGCTCGTCGGCTACATCCACCGGGTGGCGACGGCGCCACTCCGCCATGGCTCGCTCGTCCTCCTCGGCGATGAGGAGGCGGCGGCAGCGCCCAGTGTGGTCGGCACGGTCCACGTCGGTGATGAGACGCGGCGGAGGGGCGACGCGCTGCGCCTGCTCGCGCGTGAAGACGTCCCGGAAGTTCATCTGCGTCCGGGGCCTATCCAACCGCCACGCCGTCGCGTCGTACACGCGGGCCGCCTCGTACGCGCTCCGGAACGACCGGAGGCCGAGCCGGACGTCGCCGGACCGGATCTCGGCGGAGTACCAGCCGTTGGGGCGCTCGCGGACGCCGCGGTAGCCAGACGAACCCCGGCGGCGCGGCGGCATGGTGGCGCGGTGGTGGCATGAAAAGCGGCGAAGCGGCGAAGCGGCGAGGTTGCGAGGGAAGGGCGCGTGGCTGTATCTGTGCACGTGGCATTTTATAGGCGCGCACGAAGCGGCGCGCCAAATCTACCGCGCCGCGTGCCGCTTTCTCCCGCGTGCGTGTAAACGCTTCCTGCGCGCGGTAACTTCCCGCCACCGCTGAAGCGCGCGGAATCAGCCGGCGCGCGCTAAACCCAAATTTTATCACGCGGGCACGTCTTTTGCAGCACCTGTTGGAGATGCTCTTAAGGGAGGCCATGTTAGCCTGAGTGTGTGACAAGCATGCTGCGTGGAGCACGAGCGTGCTTCGGTAAACCATACAAGAAAATTATCATGAGTCGTGTCCCAGCACAACGGGGGAGATCTGGAGCACATGCGTACGTACACAAAGCACACGAAGAAAACAAGCAACTACGAGCACAGATCTGGAGCACATGAGCACAAGCGCGATGTGCTCCGGCATGTCCGGCCGTTCAAATCAGAGATGCCTCTTCTGGTCAGATCGAGGGGGAATATATATGTACTACAGCATATCCGGCGAGCACACGGTACTATCATTGTATTGTATAGCCGATATGTTACCATTAGAAAACGACAGTGAATGTAAGTACCACCCAGTTACATCATGCATGAGTTCAAGTGACCAAAGCATAGTTCGAGTTTTCTTTCCCCTACGCCAAGGCTAGGGTTTGTCTCCTCTCTGGCGATCCCATCGCCTGAGAGTCCTCCTACCGATCGACGAACCTCCCTCGTAGGGTTCGCATGATCTCGTCCTACGCCCCTCACCCTAGTGGGTCGGGTGTGACGCCTCTCCAAGGAACGATGGATCCGGCGGCCGATGCTCTGTCCGGAACCAGTAGTGGCGGCGGCGGCGGCGCCAAGGCCAAGGCTTCAGATCTTGGTGATTTCATGGAACAACTCCACCTGGAAGATGTAGACTTTGATGATTTGGTGATTGAAGAGGACGATCCGGCGGTTAACGAAGGCGTACGCTGGCTGGCCCTTGCTAGGGTTCATACGGCAAAAACCTTTAGCCCGACGGCGTTCTACAAGGATATGTGTGCTGCTTGGAACATGGCGAAGCCCGTGAGGTTCAGACCCGTCGGACCAAACGTCTTCGTAGTGCAGGCAGAGTGCCTTGGTGATTGGGAACGCATGGTGGATCAAGGGCCATGGCTCTTCAGGAATATGGTGGTGCTCATGGCACCGTATGATGGGTTCACGAAGGTGGAGGAGGTGCTGATGCTGTTTATGCCGATTTGGCTCCAAATTCACAAGCTACCTGAGGGTTTTTGTAAGAAGAATATAGTGGAATCTTTGTTAAGGAACTCCGGTGATATCCTAGAGATGAGGCTGAACGGGAATACACGTGGCGATTATGTGAGGGTTAGGGTTCGGCATGATATCCAAAAACCCCTCACAAAGTTTGTTAGCATTGTCAGAGGAAATGAGAGGCAAGTGTTCTTAGTTCGCTATGAAAAATTAGCTCATTTCTGCGGCGTCTGTGGTCTTATTGGGCACGATTTTAAGGAGTGTGGCTCCGGGGTTCATGAGGAGAAAGAGAAGAAATTTGGATCCTGGCTTTATGCCGATGGGCCGAACAAAAGCAGGCAGGATGAGGCTGGTCATAGTTCTGATCAGAAGCAGTTTCAGCGTTCGTCAATGAAGGAAAAGGAAGTGGCCAAGACTATGGACCCAGATTTAGCTGACACGGCGTCTAGTTCGTCGAAGCATGGTACCAGTAGTATACAGGTGGGTCCAGCGGCTCGGAAAAGGTTGGCCATGGAGCTGGAAGTTGGGGAGGAACAAAACAAAACCAACCTGGGTACATTGGCGCTGACTCAGGGTCTGGGGGAAGATGGAGGAGAGCAGTCTTCTCCAACTAACAGTTCAAACAACAAGAGAGCAAAGGTTACCTCACCGGAAGTGTCTGAAGAGAAATCGGCGGCCTCCTTCGAGGA